CGCAGCCACCCGCCGTCACTGATGCAACCCGGCACCCGTCTGCCATGGCGGCTGGCAAGTCAGCACAGCAGAGCGGACCCAGCTCGCCGCAGGCTGCACAAAGGCGCTGCCCCATCGCCTCCTGGTAGGTGGGGGGGGAGGGGGTCCGATCACTGCAACACCCACGTGCAGACACGTTTCACAGAGTGTGGCAGCAGAGCAGGAAAAGCAAGCCGTCTCCATGACCCCCCAGCTGGAGCAGAGCCAGATCTGAGGAACACGGGTACAGCAAGGTCTGGAAGCCCCAGTGACAATGCAACAGCCCACTTTGGACGTCACCCTCCGAGGGGGGATCCAAAACCAACCTTGCAACCTGCCCACACGCTGAGCTCCATTATAGTATTATAGCGCCACTAGGGGAAACTGAGGCACAGGGCGGCTAAGGCTCCACTTCCTGCAGGACCAAGGAGTCAACCTCCCATTGACTTCAAGCATCTCAAGCGCTCAGCAGCTCTTGAAAAATTCAGGCCCCGACACGGTTTATCCCCAAGCCTGGGACAGAGCCCTGGACTCTGAAGTCCCCTGCCCCTCTGCTCTGGCAGTAGCGTGAGGCTGGAGGGGGCACACCAGATCTGACAATCTACTGGCCCATAACTCTAGCCTGGCTCTCTACTGGGGATCTCTGCCAGCCTCCCAGCATTATCGATAAACCAGTGTGTTTCCTCCCCCGGGGCCCGGCTGGGAGCCAGAACAGAGAGTGACAGAGGCGGAAGGTGAGATGTGACAGGTCCAACGGAATAAATCACATTAAGCAAGGGACGTCCCTCTGCCTAACCTCTCCTGGGGGGAGGAGAGGAATCTAAGCCACTGCAGAGGGCAAAGATCCGCAGTAGGCAGGTCCCTCCTCTGCTCCAGATGAACCGGGAGCATCACAGATGTTGGGTGAGGAAACCTCAGACTGACAGGAAGTCTGCACGAGTTATTTCCACATCTTTTGAGATCCTTCTGGTCCCGGAGTCCTTAAAGGGCCAGGCTCTTGCTTTTGATTTGTCCTTGAACAGCACACACAGACCATGCCATCCTTGCAAGACAGGGGAGTCTAGCAGGCCAGCAGGGGGCGAGCAGAACAGAACGGTTTCTTCCCATGGTGGATGTAAGAAGCGGGCGTAGATTATAAAGCCAGAAGCGACTACTGTGATCTTCCAGGCTGACTCCCTGCCCAACAGGCTGGAGAACCTCTGAGTTGGTTCCAGGTGGGAAAAACAACCCAGCTGGACTTCAACGTTGCCAGTGAAGGGAGATGCTCCAGCAGCTTCCCGGACAGGTGAAAACAGACACCAGAGAAAAACCCACTGCCCAGAGAAAGGAGCACTGCCAACAGGCACAGCGGAGCGGCCAGGGAGCAATCAGTTGGTTGGCAGAGCCCCGCACGGATACAAACTTTGCATCCACAGTCCGCACGTGTGGTCAGTGGACAGCTGCAGGTCTGCAGAGCTCTTTCTACTGAGGCTGGAGCCCCTCATAGACTCATAGACTTTAAGGTCAGAAGGGACCATTATGATCGTCTAGTCTGACCCCCTGCACAGTGCAGGCCACAGAATCTCGCCCACCCCTCCTAGAATAATCCTCTCACCTATATCTCAGATATTGAAGCCTTCAAATACTTTGAAGACCCCAAGATGCAGAGAATCCTCCAGCTGTGATCTGTACCCCATGCTACAGAGGAAGGCAAAAAACCTCCAGGGCCTCTGCCAATCAACCATGGAGGAAAATTCCTTCCCAGCCCCAAATATGGTGATCAGCTAAACCCTGAGCATGTGGGCAAGACTCACCAGCAAGACACCCAGAAAGTTCTCTATAGTAACTCCTATCATCCCTCCATTGGCCTATTTACCACTGATAATGAATGGTCAATTAGTTACCAAGATCATGTTAT